GATTGTATGGTAGCTCTATTTTTAATTTTTTGAGAATGCTCCATATTGTTTTCCATAGTGGCTGTAACCAATTTACAGTTCACTGACAGCACACAAGGGTTCTCTTTTCGCCACATCCATGCCAGCATGTATCCCTTGTCTTTTTGATGATAGCCATTTTAACAGGCGTGAGGTGAGGTGATATCTCATTGTGGTTTTAATTTGCATTTCTCTAATGACTAATGGTGCTGAGCATCTTTTCCTGTAGCTTTTGGCCTTTTCTATATCCTTTTTGGAGAAATGTCTGTTCGGGTCTATTACCCATTTTATAATTGAGTTATTGTTTTAAATATTTGAGTTGTATGACTTCTTTTTATGTTTTGGATATTAACCCCTGATCAGACATATGATTTAAAAATACTTTTTCCTATTTTGTAGGTTGTCTTTTCACTTTTTAAATTGGGATCTTTATATGTACTTATGACATGTTATATTAATGTGGCTGTTTGTGGGATCGGGGAGAGGACTAATTGAATGAGTTTTTTAGTTCAGTGTTCTAGTGTTTTCAAGATTTGCTGTGTAATGAGTGTCTTTATGACCTTCCCTCTTTTGTGGAAGGAGTTTGTTTCGAGTGCATTGGAGCATTCAAAATGAGTCAAGCTGGAAACAGCATCTCTGGTGATTCCCTAGCAGGAAACCTGAAGATTCCTTAGCTGAAGGGGAAATTCCAGTGGGTCAGAAAGCTACATTCTGGGGTGGAACTTACAGGGGGAATGTGTTAATTTACAGGCACTGGATACAAAACAAAACTGATCTCTGTTCTAAATGAACAACTGGTTTCATTTTTTTTTTTTTGCAATAAATCTGATGCTGATATGAGTAAACGGGGGCAGAGAGAGAGGGAAGGATGGTAAACCCACCACAATGTCCAGCGAATGGCCCTTGCCAGCCTCCCTCTGACCAGGTTAATAATTTACATTAAAAAAAATTCTTTTCCTCTGCTGTTTTAGGGGAATTTTTGAATATGTGTTTTGAAACATCTGGTAGATTACCAGGTACTGGAAGCACATACACTTCACCAGGCCTCCAGTGTTCTGGGAGGAAATGTGGCTGAGTGATCTTTATCCATACCAGAAGTTCCTTGTCACTCTTACTCAGTGATATGAGTGAAGGTCCTTTGTCCTTTGCCCTTGTTAGAGAAAAATGAAATTAAAAATCAGGCTCACTTTTATCCGAAAGACTTTCCAGCTTATTCCATTTTTACTGTCTATGCAGCTCATTCTGATATGTATTCTGATATATACTTCAACACTGACATCTCCCTATTAGCTTTTATGAATGGCTAATGACGAATGATGGCTCTAGCTGCCTCAGGGTAGACTACTGAGCAAATTTAAAAATTAGTCTTCTGCTCTCATCTTCTGTTAGTAAAACCAAATGCATGTGAAGAAGTGCAATTACAGTTCAATCCATCTTTGCTCTCTCTAATGATGTTTTACATTAATAATTTTTTAGAACAGTTTTATGTTTCATATTTACAGGAACATTGTGAACTTAGAGAACAAAGAGTTTGCATACATTCCTCACCTTGTCCCTTATCTTTAACACCGTCCATTATTACATTACATTATTATGATGCCTTTAATGTAATGATCTAATATTGATACATTATTATTAATTGAAGTCCATATTTTATTTAGATTTACTTAGTTTCCACCAAGTGTCATTTTTCTGTTCCAGGATCTCATCCAGAGCACCACATTACATTTAGTTGTCAAGTCTCCTTAGGTTCCTCTTGACTGTGAAAGTTTCTTAGTTTCTTTTTTTTTTTTTGACTATGGATGACTTTGAAAGTTTTTGAGTACTGATCAGGTATACTGTAAGGATGCCCCTCTCCTGAGTTTTTTTCTTGTTCTTTTCATGATTAGACTGGGATGAAGGGTTTTGGGGAGGAGAATCTCAGATGTAAAATTCTCTTGTCTTCACATCACATCAACAGTACATTCTGTCAACATGACATCACCATTGATGTTAACCTGGATCATCTGGCTGAGGTAGTATTTGTCAGGTATACTCACACTTCTTTCCTCCCTTTTCATACTGTAATCTTTGGAGGAAGTCACCTTGTACAGCCCTCACTTAATGAGTAAGGAATTATGCCCCACCTCCTTGAGGGTAGAGTATCTACATAAATTCTTCTGCGCAGGGGATATGTCACTTCTCCCTCATTTAATTATTTATTCAAACATTTATTTATATCAGCATGGACTAATAGATATTTATTTTATACTTTGGATTATAAGCCAATATTCTATTTATTTTGTTGCTCAAATTATCTTAGCTTTGGACAATTGGGAATTTTTGTGTTTCATTGGCATATCTTCATCATTTTTTTTTTTGAGAATTTCCTTAATCCCTGGTACTATAAAATGCTCTTGGATCATTTTATATATATCCTGCCCCAGCACTACAGTCAGCCACTTCTTCAGGGAACCTTGGTTCCTTTTATTGGAGATTGGTATTAGAGAACAAAATCTGAGTGCTAGGTGTACTGTTGCTACTGGGGTGTCATTGCTCCTAGCTAGACCTCCTTAGCTGAACAAGCAAGGGAATATGTGTGTGTATACAAATGTGTATATACATATGCATATATATAAATAGTTCTACATTCACATGTATCTATATTAAGCTAAATATGAGTTCATACTGATATATTTGGCTCTAATTCATTACTACATGGATCAATCCAGTCTCTTCCCCTGTTTATCTGTAAATTCCCACTCCAATAGTGAGAAAATTTGTTCCCATCATCCATGATTCATTACTTAATTGTTCAATTTCAACATACTTGCATAGCAAAATTAGAATTATTAACCTGTACCCCTGTGGGAAACAGTTTTATTGACTAGAGTATGGTGCTTATGTGCAGTTTCTTTTACCTTTATAGACTCCACTAATTTCCAAAAATACTTAAGTCAGCACTGTTTCTTCCATCATTCTCAGTAAGGTTCTAGGTACTTGTAATATACGTAGATTCTTTTGTCACAGATTGCATACCATTAGGGGACCCCTGACTTCCTAAATGATTTTGAAATATCTGCATACATTAAGGTTTGCTCTTTGTTCTATAAAGTGCCGGGATTTTGACAAATGCAAAGTATAAATCCACCATTACCATATCATGCAGAATAGTTTTGCTGACCTTAAAAAATACTCTGTGATTCACCTGTTCAATCCTCCTGAACTCCTGGTAACCGCTGATCTTTTTACTGTTGCTCTTGTTTTGCTTTTTCCAGAGTGTCATGTACTTGGAATCATATAGTATGTAGCCTTTCAGACTGGTTTCTTCTGCTTAGCAATATGCATTTAATGTTCATCCGTATCTTTGAGTATGTTGATAGCGCATATCTTTTTATTATGGGATAATATTTTCTCATATGAGAATAGGAAAGTTTGTTTATTCACTCACATATTGAAGGATATGTTCTTTGCTTCCAGTTTTTCGAAATTATGAATAAAACTGCATAAACATTTGCATGCAGACTTTTGTGAGGATTTAAGTTTTCAAACCAGTTGATTAAATACCAAAAGTGTGATTGCTAGATCATATGGTAAGACTGTATTTAACTTTATAAGAAACTGACAAGCTGTCTTCCAAAGTGGCGTTACCATTTTCCATTCCCACCAGCATTGAGTGAGAGGGCTTGTTGCTTCACATTCTTGTCAGAAATTGGTATTGTAGGTTTTAAAGAAAATACTTGCCCATTCTAATACGTATGTAGTTGTTTTAATTTGCAGTTGCTGTTTTAATATGCAGGTTTCTAATGACACAAGATGTTGACCTTTTTTTTCCCCATATTTTTATTTGGTATCTGTATAGTTCCTTTGGAGAGGTGTTTGTTTAGATCTTTTTCACTTTTTTAAAAAATTTATCTTCTTACAATGATTGATACATATGTGTAAACTAAAAAATATGTGCAGTATATTGTGAATATGTATTCACATGTGATATAATGTATATGTGCAGTCAAACTGTAATAATTCTACCTAATAAAACTGAAAAGGGAAAAAATGATCTTCTTTATTAATTTAATAAACAGTCTTTTTCATGTTTTAAAATTGGGTTATTTTCTTGTTGTTGAGTTTTAAGAGTTCTTTGTATATTTTAGATATAAGTCCTTTACCAGATGTGTGTCTTGCAAATATTTTCTCCTAGTTTGCAGCTTGTCTGTGGTACTGTTTTTCAATGTATTTTCACACTCTATTGAGACCCTTCAAGAAGAAAAGAAATTAGTCAGTTGTAAGAGCTCAGTAATGTCTCTATGTGGCAATGCTCATCCTCCTCTCTCCAGGAATCCACTTTTCATTGGTCTTTCAAAGGCATTGCTCTTTTCAAAACTTTATATGTGAAGTGCAAGGAAGATATCATGAGAAGATACCAGTACCCAAATAAGTAAAGAAAAAGTGCATTAAAATTTTTTGATTCTTACAAAGACTCTGTGATGTAGATAAGCCAAGCGTTAGCAATCACATTTATTATCAACTTTGATAGGAAAGTTTCCAGATGAGGAAACCAGAACCCAGGAAAGCTGCATGACTTGCCCTGAGTCACACAGTCAGCAAGAGATAAAGCCATGGCCAGACTCCTAGTTTCTATCTCCTGGCCCCAGATTGTCTTACCTGTATTACACAAGAATTATATCTTGTTAGCTGGAAGGCCATTATTGTTTTGGTTTAAAATGCAAACTCACTGATAATGCACATGTGTAACAGTTTACTTTTCTGATGCATTTGAGCCTTGGCTGTGTCAGATAAATAACTTGTTCAAAATGGAATGAGCTATTTCAAAGCATATGGATTCCTGCATCTAGGAGAAACACAAAAAATGCTTTGTTAAATCAAATGTGGACACACTAGCTCCTCCAGTGCCCATCTCCCAGCTTCTTAACACCAGAATCCTACCCTCCTGGGCATATGGCTGCCCAGCAAAAGACCACATAGACCAGCTTCCCTTAGAAATAGGCGAGGCCACGTCTCTAAGCCTCCAGCAAGGAAATGCCCTTAAAAGGAGATATTTTGTATCACTTTCTCTCTTTTCCTCTTCCCACAGGATAGAATGTGGACGTTGTGGGGAGACAGTTTTGACTGTATGGATGATTAGAATTCTCTGAGGGAGGTCAGAACAAGTCAGAAAGCATCAGAGTACCTGGATGAGTTGATGGAGCACAGCCACTCACCTACTCTGAACCACCTGCCCACTTCCACAAAGGGATGTGAAAGAGAAGTAAGTGTTCCCTTGTTTGGGTCCTTAATACCACACTGTGGGTCCCAAGTTTGGGTTCTGAACATATGCTAGTTGCACACTAGTCTTATTATGCAATGTCATGGGATCACATAAATCACTGTTTAGGAACCTAAAGCATTCCTGGCCAAGACTAATACATTTTGAAAATGTGGAAAAGGCTGTATAATTAAGTTCAGTTTTTTCAAGAGTGTGTACCAAGAATACTTACTGTGAATTTATGGGTAATTAGGACTTTTTTAACTTAATTTTTTTTTAGTAGTCACATTAAAAAAGTCAAAACAGAAACAGGTGGAATTAATTTTAATAATAAATTTAATTTATTCAATATATCCAAAATAATATCATTTCAACCTGTAATCAATTAAAAATTTTAATGGGGTGTTTTGCTCTCTTTTTTTCATATTAAATTTTTGAAATCCAGACTGTATTTCACACTTCACGCACATCTAAGTTTGAACTAGTGCATTCCAAGTGGTCGGTATCCACACGTGGTTGGTTAATGGCTACTGTATTGGACAACACAACTCTAGTCACAGAGGTGCTTGGGATTCAGGAAGAACTGACTGTATTATGACAGCTGCTCCTAAACACCATGTTGTTCTTTCTTTCTGTCTCACTTCTCAAGAAATAAACACACACAAGCTCTTGTCAAAACCAGTCACTGCCAGATCCTTCTGACTTGATTCTGTGAGAAGAGCTATGTGATCTGGTGCTTGATAATATGAACAAAGTTCAACTTGGATTTCTCCTAAGAAACTTTTGAATCCAAAGTACAAAATGTGATCTAGTGAAATACCTTTACAGGCTTATGCTCAGTCACTTTGAAAAACTTCAAACCATGACAGGGGATGATTGACATTTTGCTGTTGTAACTTTTTGTCAGCTCTAATGACTGTTCTATTTATAGCTGGTGACAATGCATTTTGTAGGATGGGCCAGTCCATATGGTGGGGGTTGATGTGAGAGGATTATCATTACAATTCAGCACATGTTTTTTATAGTGGCATTTTGTGCATTTTGAGTCAGTGTTCAAAACCATATGACATTAGGAATATATAAAGAAAAAGAAGTAGATGAGGGAGATTAAGAGGTACAAATTTCCATTTATAAAATAAACGTCATGGGGATGAAAAGTACAACATAGAGAATATAGTCAATAATAATGTGATGTTTGTATGGTGACAGATGGTAATTAGACTGATCATGGTGATCATTTTGTAATGCAGAGAAATACTGAATCACTATGTTGTGCACCAGAAACTAACATAGTATTGTAGATCAACGATACATCAAAGCAAACAAACAAATTCAGAAAAAGAGATCAGATTTATGGTTACCAGAGGTGGGGGATGCGGGAAGGGGGAATTGGATGAAAGTGGTCAAAAGATGCAAACTTCCAGTTATAAGATAAGTAAATACTCAGAAATGTAATGTACAACATGATTGATATGATTCACACTGCTGTATCTTACAAATGAGAATTGCTAAAAGAGTAAATCCTAAGAGTTCTCATCACTAGGAAAAATGTTTTTTCTTTTTCTTTTCGTTTGCATCTTTATGTCATGATGGATATTCACTAAACTTATTGTGGTAATCATTTCATAACATATGTAAGTCAAATCATGCTGTACACCTTAAGCTTATACAGTGCTATATGTGAATGAAACTAGAGGGGAGGGGACAAAAAGAAAAAGGGCTTCTTTCAAGACTAACTAATGTAATGTGATAGTTATTAATGTAATATTGCTCCTCATCATTTGAATTATTTATTCAAACATATAATTAAGGAAAGAGATAACCACATAATTGATGCTTTCATCTGTGCTCATTCTGTCTTTATATCTTTGAATCTGGCCTGTGCTACTGAAACCTTTTAGGGACAGTGTTCTAGACCAACAGGTGATGGTATAGCTCCCAGCTTTGCCACTGGGCTGGGCAAATTTATTTAGTCTCTCTGGGACTCCACATTCTCATCTGCAACAAAAAGGACTGAAGTGAGGATGAACGTCCATGAAAGTATCTAGCACAGTGATCCTGCGTTTGGCTTATATTTTCTTTTTCACTCCCAGAAGCCTAGGTACTAGTGCATAGTTCTGTTTATCCCTGCTCAGAGTTAGGGGTATGGGGCCACAGTATGCATTTTTAGGGGCAGCAAGGAAAGTGCCACTGAGATAAAGGCATCTTTACATTTTTTTAATATAGATCATAGGGGTCAGCTGGATTTAAAATTCATTGCGCACAATGTTGTAAACTGTCTTAATTATCTTGATGTTATAAAAGCATATAAACGTGTACTTTTGACATCTGGGTAATTAAGCTTTGAACAGCAGTGACTTCTAATCTTCCATAGTTTCATAGCCTTGCACTTATTTCACTGCAGCCTGGCTATTACCCATCACCACCTTTCTGCTCCAACGGAAACCATTTCTGATGAGGCCAGGATGGGACAGGATGGCTTTGATTTTTGAATCAATGTAAAAATAACTTTTATGTGTTGAGCTGCATGGAATTTTTATTTGCTCACTGAATTTTATTTTATGGTTAAAAAAGAGCCAAATAACAAGGCAATTATATTTAGCAGATGAAAAGAGACATATGAAAATGATAAATTTAGCTGTGGGTATCTCTGACCTAATATGATAACCATCTCAGTTTCAAAAGCCTAATTATTTTTCAGAGAAGCTTTTTACTTTGCTTACACAACTCAGTTAAGAAGAGCACAAATAGCCCCATAGGTATCCTCAAGATAGAGCAACATTACTAACCATTGTTAATTAATCGCTTCTTAGGTTAAGAAAAATGGCAGAGAGATTTTTAACATTTTATAGTCATTAAAATAAAATAGAATTTAACATTTGAGTACTAATTTACCTTTATAAATTGTAGGGCACTTTTGTACATTAGATAAGTTTTCTGGCATTTTTGAAACATCTTTAAACAGAAGTTTTAATTTTATTTTTTTAATAAGTGAGAAATAAAGTTTATTTACTTGGGGATATGTATAAATACTGAATGTAAATTGCTTTGGAAAGATCAGAAAAGGCATTAATGCATCAATTACTGTTCAGTTTGACATTCTAAGCATATTATTAAAACAAATTGTCCATACATATTTTGATTTTCAAAATTATGACAAAATTGTGTCATGTTACTATAACTGTCCTTGTAAAATTGATATGCAGATTTTATATCTTATGTAATATATAAACATACATATGATGTAGTACTTTATATAAAATACTTTATTTTACAGGAACTGCTTTTTCAAGCAGAATGCCATTTTTTCTTTTGAGATTTTATATAAATTCTACCCTTTGACTAGTATTTACCTTTAAGAAATGGTATAGTCCTTTGGACAAGTAAGTTTGGACAAAATTTTCTCTTCTGTTTTCCATTTAGCTGGTTTAGTTGAAAACATTTTAGTTTTTTGAACGAACATAGATATTTCAGGATGAATTTTATTTTGATTTAAGCCGAGTTGGAGATTCATCTGTTATTTTCTCTGGAGTTGGGAATTAAGCCTCAAGAATGCTCTTGTCCTGTAAGGACTCATGTTGATGCCAATGATGTGATTCAGTCACAGAAACCAACAGAGAACATAGTTATGAAAAGGTTGTCTCTGTTGAAAGCAAAGTATAGACGAAAGGAGAGACTAAAGTATCTATTGACTTTTTTCTGTATAAGAATTGTGTGTGACCTTTGCAGGAGCAGTGTGAGTGAATCAGAGAAGGCAGATGGCAAATTCTTATGGGTTCAGCAGTGAGTTGGAAGGGTGACAGTAGAAACTGTTGTTTATAGACAACATGTCAAAAAGCTTAGCTGGGAACTTTAGAGACTGATGACTAAAGCAAGGTTTCTCAACCTCAGCCCTGTGGACGTTTTGGACCACACAACTCTTGTACACAGCAGTCCTGTACACTGCAGCGTTTAGCGGCCTCCTTGGCCTCTACCCGTGAGATGCCAGCAGCAGCCTCTCCCCTAGTTGTGTCCTTTTGGCCGGGGGTGGCAGAATCATCCGTGGTCGAGAACCCCTGGCAAAGAAGAATTCACAGGGCTAGGAAAAGATGTTTTTTCCTTTTTTGGTTTGAAAAGACAGTCATTCTTGAGAACTAGGAAGGAATGATGGGATAGAATGAAGATAAAGGAAAGAGGTAGAAAAAAATGAAGATTTCAGGGGTGAAATTGGGGAGGAGAGACCTGAGAGGACTTTGTGTGGTGGGTGGGAGTGGGGGAAGCTAGCATCCAGCGAACAGATTATGGATCATGCCCTAAATATGGTGGCTTTGCTTAGCCCTCTTTGTACAGGATGTAGGTAGGTGCTAAATTTTCTCCCTGTACAGTCATAAGTCTCATTTTTGGAGTGTTTAAACCCTAACTCCTGCCAAACCACCTTTGATTACTGCTATAATCTGGGCCCTGCACCTGATCTGCTGCCTTCTGCTTCACCTGCTGCTCTTGCCCCAACCTCTGCCAGGGCAAGGCTCTCACTGGACTGGGATTGGTGACAGCTGGCCCAGGAGAGGCTCATGTGAACCTCCTAGGAGGGGCTTCTAGGAGCAGAGGCAAGGGAAAGGGATAGAGAAATCAAGAGGGGGATAGAACTGTACACAGCAGGAACATGCTGCTGCAAGAGGACTTGCTTCTGGCATTTCTGTTGCATTAGTTTGGCTGCAGTAAGCTGTCCAGTGATTACCTATCTGTGTCTCCTGGTACCCCATGCTGTGTTAGGTGCTGGCAGACACATTTTATAATTGTAACTTGACAATGGCTTTTAGAATCAAGATTTCAAATTCACTGTTAATCTTATGAGTAGCAAAATTTTTGTGTGAATTTTGGTCTGTGTTTGAAATGATGAGAAAGATGAAAGGGTTTCAGTGTGCTCTTGAGAGAAAATGAGGCAGGGATAATTGATTTTTTCCCATCCACTCTTTATATTCTCTTCCTATGTAGATTAAGTTAAGGTTTTTATTTGGACATTG